TATATATATATATATATATATATATATATATATATATATATATATGTATACACACACATATATACGAAATACATAAATGTAATTAAATGGCTTTTACAGTGTAATATATGTGATAAGTCTAGGATATAATATGGCATATGCAAAATGGTGGTGCCTTATTATCAGCTGTTTTTAGAGACAATTATTCAACAGCAATTCCTTAGCCAGCTCATACTTGTTTTGTCTGAGTAACCTTCCAGATTTATTTAAAAAAATAATCTTATGTTAGTTTAATTTTAGCTTTAAGTAAAGGAAATTCCATTTCCCATGGCTTAACAGTAAGCAAACCTATTCTGTCCTATCATAGGCCAAGATAAAGTGGACTTCAGAAGCAGTGGATCCATTTTCTCTATTCCCCCACCACAGGGTAGACATTATGTACAAGCTTGTGACCAAGCTTTAGTACTATAGGGAAGAAGAATTCTCTCCCTGTTACCATCTTGTGGTAAAAGAGACAGGCGGCCCCAAAACAGAGAGGATTAAGTTTTTGCCTAACTGACTGTGGATACTTGTGATGTGGCTGCCAGAAGATGCTGTGAGGTTGGTTTAACTCTAAGTTCTGTTGCCTTCAAAACGGAGCCGGAGATACCAAGTACTATACACTGCTCAGCTTTCTTAATATAGCCCAGTGGAGTTGGAGATGGGTAGAGACATGAGCTACCATTGGCACTCTTGAGAAGAAGGGAGGAAGAGAAGAAAACTGCAGACAGCCTAGTGTGGCTCCTGCATCATCTGGAACTGCGATGGGGCAAGGGTCTGGGGATTAAAAAGTCCCCACAGAGACATGGATCACTCTTGAAACATGAATGCTAATTTTATTGTGCTCCAGGGCAGCTTATACAGTGCTCTCCTTGATTAGTGGCCACACCCCAGCTCTCAGGATTTTCTGCTGCAAGCCACCAGAAACCGCTTCCTTGTTATCAGGAACTCAGTTGAGAAAATTCCACCACCTGGTTGGCCTGTGGGAAAGACTAAAGTACATTTTCTTGACTGATGATTGATGTGGGAGGGCCTAGATCACTGTAGGTGGTGCTAAGCCCAGGTAGGTGGCCCTGGATGGTATAAGATAGCAAGCAAAGCCAGCCTTGGGGAGCAGCTCAGTATGGCTTCTTCAGCTTCCACTTCCATTTTTTTTTTCCCTTGAGATTCTGCCCTGATTTCCCTCAATGTTGGACTGTTATCTGGACATGTAAGAAGAAACAAACACATTCCTCCCCAGGTTGCTTTTGGTCCTGGTGATTTAGCACTGCAATAGAAATCCCGACTAAGATAGTGAAGATCTGAAAAGCTGCTAGCCACCTGCTACCCATATTTTCATAAGTTGTGAAATGGTCTTCTCTCCTGAAGCTTAATTAATTATATTATTTGTATTTCAGAAAATGTTAGCAAACTCAAGAAACTTGAATATTTGAATTTAGCACTAAACAACATTGAAAGAATTGAAAATTTGGAAGGTAAGAATTTTCCTGTTTTGTTTATGAGATCAATGAAAACATGAAAGTAGCTTTACACAGTATTGTAGATACAAAACAGTAGATTTTAAAATTATATTTTCCATAAATCTTGCTCATCTCAGTTTTTATAGAAATGCCACAATAGAGTGCTATGTAAATTCAAAGCCAGAAATGTACCTCACTTCACCCCTCCCTAGGTTGGTCTGCAGCCGACATCTTGGAAATTGTGGCACGATTCTCTCTTGTTTTGTTTTCTATCAGATCATATTTCCATATCATTCTTAACATGATTTTGGTGTGTGTGTGCGTGTGCATGTGTGTGCACATGTGTGCATGTGCATGTGGATGTCAAAGAACAGCTTGTAGGAGTCGGTTCTCTCCTTCCATGTCATGGGTTCTGGGGATTCTTACTGGGGTTTGACAGCAGGTGCTGAACTCTCTCTCTGATCCTTAGGAGGAGTATTCTGAAAATTCATTTCTTCTTGGAAAATACCTTGTTGTCTTGATATGTAAGCAAAGGGATCTGAGTCTGTGGAATGCCATAAATATAGAGGGGGCTAGCTAAGCATTTGTCCGTAGATGGACATCTGAGGATTCCTGTGCTTTGCTATAATACCCTGGCGACAGTGTGCACCCTTCTTCAGCCACTCTTTGAGCATGCTCCCCCCACCTCCAGGTTTTATTTAGACTTGAAATTCCTAGGCTTAAATATGCAAATTTTGAAATACACTGCCAAGTTTTCTTCTGAAGGATTGCATCAATTTCTCTTTGCACCTGCTGGTCCACATGAGTGTCATTTCTGATGTCTTTGTGAAAGCCTCCCGCACACTGGAACACACATGGGAGCGTTACGCTGTTCATCACTGTTTGCTTTCAGATTCTTTGCTAGTATGGATCTTGGCTACCATGTAAAGACACTTACAGAATGTTGATATTTCTTCTTAGGTGAATTCTAACATGTTTCCTATGTGTTAGCCTGTTTTTTTGATTGATTTGCCATTATGGAAAGTGTGCTCTCACATATTCTGAAACTTAAACTCTTGTCACACAATACAGACATTTTCCTTTTATGTACCACTTTTTCATGTTTTTCAGTTATGATACTGGTATGCAGAAGTTTTATACTATAATATACTAGGCTATCAACCTCCTCTCTTATAATTTCTAAATACAGTCTATTTTGTGTTGAGTTCTACTTTCAGTGACTTAATCTTTCACACTTATCCTCTCTAATCCATCTCAAGTTTGCCATGTATGCTAAATCAGAAGGTACTGTTTTCTCAAAATGTAGCATGGTTGAAGTACTTGGACCATACTTTAAAATTGAAATACAAATTACATACCATAAAATTTACCAGTGTGAATGCACACATCATCAGATTTTGATACACTTCTATTTTCCATGGAAAAAGAAACCTCACTTTCTTTAGCATATAGTGCACGTGGGTTCCTCCTTACCTGCTGATGACATATTAAGGATCAGATCACCGTCATGAACACATGTGTTTTAATGAACTCAACTTTTTTCTGCATCATCTTCAGCTGGGCTGGCAGCATCACCGCAGATACATTTTCTACCTCTGAATATTTCTATGGGACATCATTGATTTTGACCTGACAAATCCCAAACATAGACATTTGGGCCCTTGCTTCTTTGATAGGTGGTGGGGAGGGAATTCTTCTCTGTGGCCCCCGTTCACATTCTATAACATCTTCTTCTGGCCCACACTACTGGCCCACACTGCTTTGCTTTTCCCTGTCCATGCTTCTCAACTGCAAATCTTGATATGGTAATAGACTGTGTATTGGGACTGAGTTTCTTGAATGACATTTGCTATCAACTCCCCAGCTAAGCACCCCCTCCCCCAGTCCAGTGTCCGAGTTAGTGTAGATCATGAAGCTCTCTCGGCCTTTTGTCTGTGGCTCTTCCTGAATTTGTGAAGGCATCATTTTAGTCAGATGTAATCCATCTTGTTTTTTGCATTTAGTAGTCATTGCCTCCAGTAGATTGAAATCCTATTTATAGAGGCAGTGGACTCAACTCTCTGCCTCCACCAGAAGGAGTATCTCTCTTCAATGGTAATTTGTGGGGCAAGACTGGAGTAACTCTTCCATGATTCCAGTTCCCGGTGCAAGGCATCCTGGGCCAGAACACCAATAACCCACACAGTGGCTTGTAGCCCTGTGCCTGCAAAAGCTCCATCCACAACAGCTGGCAGGCTGGTTCCGATATTTTCATATGAATCTGAGCTACTCTCCAGTGACTTCATTTCAACCCAAAAGTTGTATTTCATGTTTTCCTGTGTGGTAGATTTTCTGTTGACAAAATCTGAGTTTTTGTTTAGTTGTAAAAAAACATTTCGAAGGGTGGTTTTCCAGATGAAGAATTCTTAACATTTTTCCTTTCTCCCTTGCTCCTTTTTCTTTGCTCTTCTCTCTTATTTTCTGACATCCTTTCTCTGTCTCTCTAATTATCTCTATCTCATTCTCATGACCTTTAGTGTATTAATTGGATTTGATTATACTCAGCTGACATCCAGGCCTCTTAAGCTGCATGTCTATTTAAACTAGTTCGTCTTTTTATTCTGCAGTCTGAGACATCTCACCAGATTTAAATCCCAGAATAATTATGCTATGTTAATTCTTTCTCATTCTAGAATTCATTTCATTTGCAATTAACTCTTTGATGTGGCCACGATTTTCATCCCTTCTCACTCCTGTATTGATGATAGCTGTTTTCCTGTAGCGCTATTGTTATTGGATGGATAAAGTAGCATCTCACACAGGTGTGGTTGTAGTTAGAATTCCAACTTAAATTCTTTCCATTCTCTGAATGCCTTCTCTAACCTGGGCTGTTTTCTTTAGGTGGTAACTCGATGGCCCACAGTAATCACAGAGGATCGGGTGTGTCCAGTGGCTGGCGCGAGCTTGCAGTTGTGAGCTTCGGTTTCCCCAGTCAACCTTTCTTCTGTATGGCGGGGCTATGTGCCCTCTGAGTGGGTGGAGCATGCTGACTGGCAGCTTTGCTGCAGAGTGAGGGGCGTGGAGCAGAGGCAGGCAAGCTGCTCTGCCAGCCCACTCCCATCTGTCAATAGCTAAATTGGGAGGATTTCACTTAGGACACAGTGAATCTAGTCTCTTTGCCTCCCCATGTGGAATGGGTATTTCAGTGACGTATCTACAGACATAAATATACATTATTCCTTTTGAATTTTTAATCTTCAAAACCTAGAAATTGTCTTTATCAAATCCCCAAACCCAGTGAGTGTATTGGTGATGAGATTCAGAGCACCATCAGTGTCTTCTTGTTTTAGAAGTGTAGACACGACTGTTTCCCTGTACAAAACAGCTCTGTCACAGTTAGCTTTTGTTCAAACAAAGTGACAACAGTTACTCAGCATGCATGCTTATGGTAATAAAATTTTAATGTAAATGTCAGAAATGACAACTTAATGTCAACTTTCACTTTTTGGAATTATACAGGGTTTGTTTTTGTTGAAACTGGTACAGGACTGGGAACTTCCCTTTTAACAGATGTTCTGAACATCCACCACTAGAGGGCAACAACGCTGCTGTTGTGTTTGGAACTTTGCAAAAGGCTGTCAGTGGTGTGCCTCCAGCGTTTCACCCATCTGGACAGGTGCTCTCTTCCGTTCTGTGCCTTCCAGCTCTAATGCGGAGGAACCGGTTACAGGCTAGTTTGAGGACATGCATCTCGAGATCAGGGATGTATAGAGGGATGGGTGAAGAGAGAAGGAGGGTTATCTTTTTTGTTTGTTTGTTTACTTTGAAGGGCTAGAAGTGAGAGAAGATGAAGATGGATGTATATATTCAATCCATCTGCTACAGTACATCTCAGTTTGATTTTCAAAAGGAAACGGGCACCTTTATACCCTCTCTCCTTTTTACCTAGATGGCAAAGAAGAGGAGGAGGAGCAGGGAGGGGAAATCAAAACAAAGAAACGACTCTATTTTTCTTTCCCCTCTTTTCTTTTCTATGTTTAGGACTTACCAGGGTAGAATGAAGTGCCCGCTCCCCCTCGCACAGAACCGTCCTGCCCTAATCTGGAGGGATTGGAAGGGTACTGTGTTCGAGCAGCCTCCCCACCTATGGCCATCATCTTATTAATTTAAATGACCTTAGATCCCTGAGGTCAGTAGCTGGCCTTTTTCAGGATAGAAGGCAAAGGGTAAAGGAGAGAATGGTTGCCTTGGCAGGGAAGACTTGGTTAAGTTTGGCACCTAAGACCATGCTCTTCTATAGCATGGAAAACATGTTTAACTTTTTTATGTTTAGGTCAAGTATAAGCAAAATGGAGTTGTTTTTTTAAAAAAAACTATTATGAACATATAGAGAATCATGAGTCATCGATACATAAAACTGCAGCAAATCCCCAAATCAAGAAATTTTTATCTTGTTGGAATCTTGGAAATCAGTCTTTTCTTACATAAAAGAAAGATACCTCTAAATGTTTTACAGAACCTTTCGAAGTCAGTGTAATACCAACCATCTACACAATGCACAATTCTTACCTCACAGGTAGCTAGAGATTGTTTATTCTGGGCCAAATAGGAGTGACTGTGACCTAGAAATAACCTAGAAAGTGTACCACACGGAAGTTTACATGAACTTCTATAGTCATTGAATAAAGTCATAAATTAAGGCACTTTTCAAATGCGTTAGTGGAGACATTAGATTAGTGGGTTACAGCAAAGCAGGGTAAACCATGCCCCATGCCATAGGTGTCAATGCTGTCTGATGGCTTTGGAGTTGCTGGCAGTTCGTGATCTGCTAATTTCATACCATCTGAAGGTTTTGCCTGGTATTTGAAAGGACATGTGTCAGATACAGAAGGTGAGTGCCAAATGGCTTTAAAGTAACTAGATATAGATGAGACAACAAGACTTTGTATCTACACTGTTTCAGCTCCCCACAGTCACAGGGTTCTAATCATTCAGTCAGCCACAATCAATATAAGTGTAGCTTTTTTCTGGGGAGT